CCGCACATTTTCACCTCAAGTTTGGATTTTATAATTCACAACCTTGGCGTAAAAAGTGGCGTACACCAGTTTTATAAATCTGACCCCTGGTCTGTCAGAGCTGCGAGGAGCCGTGGAGGAGGTGCTGCCGGCCCTGAGGGAGCAGGGTGTCCGTGTGTTTGTCCTCAGTGAGAGCTGTGATGTGGAGGGCATAGAAAGCCTCTCTGATAAAATCCAGCAGGACTCAGATCAACCTCTGTCCCTGCAGCTGAGGGCCAACGTCAACCTGAAGAGTCCAGCGTAATAGATCTATACTTCAGGGACCACAGGTAACCAGACTCACCTGACCTTTACCTGGCCTCCACCTGGGTTCTGACCTTTACCTGGGCTCTGACTTCTGGTTTTATTCTATAAAAACAGTGTTGTGTTTCAGGACTTCCCAAGGCAGCTGTGGTTATCCAGCAGAAGTTATGGAGGGCGAGTCTTATTCTGTCTCGTGTTGGAGCTCACTCTGATGATGTTCTTTACCTGAACCTGCCTCTGTACCACACTGTTGGCTTCATGCTGGGACTCTGTGGAGCCATAGAAAGAGGTACCAGGAAGCCAGTGACCACACTCTGACTGTGGTCTGGCTGTGAAATCTGTGTTTGTCTGTTTCCAGGCTGCACCGTGGTTCTGAAGAGTAAATTCTCAGTTTCCAACTTCTGGGACGACTGCAGGAAGTACAATGTGACCATCTTTCAGTACATCGGAGAGACCATGCGTTACCTCTGCAATGCTCCAAAGGTTCAACAACAGTTTGGTTTTACTCTGCCTCCTGGCTCCAATCATAATGCTAATTTACCTCTAGACAGGAATCTAAAAACACACATGTACACAAGAGTCAGAGGGAAGATTAGGATTATTAACTAGGAGACAGAAATCTGGCAAACGCTCTCATATGAACTAATAATGAAAGTAGCATTCTTGAAGGAATMCAGTTCCAGCAGTGGATCAGACTGCTGGGTTGTACTTGGATTGTGCTAAATACAGGTGAGAATGGCTTTAATGCATATTATTATAAATATCTTCCCTCAGACCACCTCTTGGTGCTTTGGACCACTTTTGATCGAACATCTTCTATAATCTAATCCATCCATAGCGTCCAACATCTTTGGGACTTTTCTAAAGATGCAGCCTTTGTTCGATTAGACTTGTGAACTGCTGTGGTCACTGAAAACAAGGTCCTGGTGTTACCCTGCTTCAGCACACCTGGTTCAAATTAAACTGTGGTGGGGTTTCATGGGTTAAATTTTCTCCTTACTCTGAAACAGAACTCTTTAAAGTCACTAATAATTAGGCCTGTCGCGATAGTCAATAAATCAATTAATCGCACGACAACTTTTTTTGAGGCCGGTAAATAAAAGACGCCGATAAGTTTCATTTTCCTGCTTGTTTGTTTACTTCGTCTCTCTCCCTCTCTGTGCTCCACTACACAGGAGCTCAACTGACTCCTCCCCTCCTGTTTTCTTAGTGTGGGAGGAGCGAACTGTTGCTTTAGCGTGAGAGCTAGTTTCTAAAGAAACGCTTCAAAAGCAGAACGCGGCTGCTGAAGTGTCGGAGAACTAGAACCTGGATTTCGCTGCGGAGGGAGAGAGGGAGAGAAGAGAGACGGAGTGAGACAGAGAGAGAGAGAGAGAGAGAAAGAGAGACAGAGAGAGAGAGAGAGAGACGGAGTGAGACAGAGAGAGAGAGAGAGAGAGAGAGAGAGAGAGAGAGAGAGAGAGAGAGACAGAGAGAGAGAGACGGAGTGAGACAGAGAGAGAGAGAGAGAGAGAGAGAGAGAGAGAGAGAGAGAGAGAGAGAGAGAGAGAGAGAGAGAGAGAGAGAGAGAGAGAGAGAGAGAGAGAGAGAGAGAGAGAGAGAGAGAGAGAGAGAGAGAGAGAGAGAGAGAGAGAGAGAGAGAGAGAGAGAGAGAGAGAGAGAGAGAGAGAGAGAGAGAGAGAGAGAGAGAG